CAAGACTTCCTCCCCCCACTTCTGTCAAGGGGGTTAGAAGTATTCTTGGGCATGCGGGGTTCTACCGGCGATTTATCAAGGACATTTCGAAGGTAGTGAATCCATTGTGCAAGCTGCTAGAAAAGGATGCAAAGTTCGTGTTTGATGAGGGATGTATACAAGCCTTTGAACTTCTCAAGAAAAAGTTGATCACCACCCCGATCATTACCGCACCCAATTGGAGCTTGCCTTTCGAGCTTATGTGCGATGCGAGTGATGTTGCGGTTGGGGCATTTTTGGGTCAAAGAGTGAACAAAATATTTCATCCAGTGTACTATGCGAGCAAGACAATGAATGAGGCTCAAAGGAAGTACACGGTGACAGAGAAAGAATTGTTGGCTATTGTGTTCGCAATGGAAAAGTTTCGGCCATATCTTATGGGAGCCAAAGTCATAGTGCACACCGATCATGCAGCTCTTAGTATTTGATGACAAAGAAAGACTCCAAAGCTAGATTGATGCGATGGGTCTTATTACTCCAAGAGTTTGATTTGGAAATTGTGGACCGGAAAGGTAGCGAAAACCAAGTGGCGGATCATTTGTCCCGCTTGGAGGAAGAAGGAAGGTTGTGTGATGGCCTTGAGATCAATGAATCATTTCCCAATGAGCAGCTACTTTCTGTATCGATGATGATATGCCATGGTTTGCGGATACTGCTAATTTCCTTGTGACGGGCATCATCCCGTGTGAGCTCTCTTCTAACCAAAGGAAGAAGCTCAAACGGGATAGTTTAGACTTCTATTGGGATGAGCCATACTTGTTCAAGATTTGCACCGACGGAGTGATCCGGAGGTGTGTACCTGAGGAGGAGCAATTTCGCATCCTAGAGGCTTGTCATTCCTCCCCCTATGGTGGCCATCATGGAGGGGCGAGGACAACTTCGAAAGTTCTAAGTTGTGGATTTTATTGGCCAATTTTGTACAAAGATGCAAGTGATTTAGTGAAAAGGTGTGACCAATGTCAAAGAGCGGGCGGTATTTTGAAGAAAGATGAGATGCCTTTAAACACCATTCTAGAAGTGGATATCTTTGATGTATGGGGTATCGATTTCATGGGCCCATTTGTAAGCTCGTGCGGAAACACCTACATTCTTGTAGCGGTTGATTATGTCTCAAAATGGGTCGAGGCTATGCCTTTGCCCAACAATGAAGCTAGGTGTGGTTGCATTTCTAAAGAAGAGCATTTTCGCAAGGTTTGGCACTCCTCGTGCAATTATTAGTGATGGAGGATCGTATTTTTGCAATAGAGCTTTTGACACCTTGCTTGACAACTATGGTGTCAACGACAAAGTGTCTACTCCTTATCATCCCCAAGCAAGTTGCCAGGTTGAAGTGTCCAACAGGGAAATCAAGAATATACTGTCTAAAACAGTCAATGCAAATAGGACCGATTGGTCTAAGTGCTGGATGATGCTTTATGGGCGTATAGGACTGATTACAAAACTCCGATTGGTATGTATCCGTATCGGTTGGTGTTCGGGAAAGATTGCCATTTACCGGTTGAGTTAGAGCATAAGGCCATGTGGGCCTTGAGAAAGTTGAACCTTGATTGGGATGTGGCTGCAAATCTTCGGGTGGAGCAACTCAATGCACTTGATGAATTTCGATTCCATGCCTACTCCAGTTCGTCCTTGTACAAGGACAAGATGAAGTAACTTCATGACAAATATGCTCATGGCAAGGAGTTTAGAATAGGTCATTTGGTGCTCTTGTTCAACTCTCGGTTATGGTTGTTTCCGGGAAAGCTAAAGTCAAAGTGGAGCGGACCATTTGAAGTAGTGTATGTGACCCCGTTTGGTGCCCTTGATTTAAAGAACAAAAGTGGGGAAGTTTTTAGAGTGAATGGGCATAGGGTCAAGCATTATCTTGGAAAAATTGATGACAGCCACGTGGTGGCACTCCTTCATTTCAAATGATATGATGGTAACTTGCGTCGTGCCGCGATGTTAAATCAGGCGCTTCTTAGGAGGCAACCATGTGTTTTTCTTTTTCTTTTTCTTTTTATTTTATTTATTTGATTTTCATTGTAGTGTAGGATTAATTTTTGGGCTAACTGGTTGTGAGATGTTACTGGATTGTGTTGATGCAATGCAGGACATAGTGGGAAAAAAATGATCAGGTCTCTGAAGTTATCAGTGCAGCCGCAGTCCATTCTGTGTGGACCGCACTGAAGAAAGAGTAAAAATACAACTCTCTGAAATTTGCCACTGTGTCCGCACTACATTTTGTGCGGTCCGCAGTGGACCACTGCGGCCCGCAGTCTATTTTGTGCGGACTGCAGTGTGTTGCCTCCTCAAGCTTGCAATTTTTTGTACAGTGCGGACCGCGGTACATTTTGTGCGGTCCGCACTAGGGTAGGTAAGCTGGGCCCCAGGGTTTTTTTCTATAAATAGTCCTTCAGGCCCACCTTTTATACTTTTCGAATCTTTGCATCTCAGAAGCCTTGGAACACTGTTCATCCTTTCCTGTTGCTTGTAATTGACTGTTTAGAACTGAGTAGCTGCATTTCATCTCACATCTGGTACCATTACCTTCTTTTTAGTTATTTACTTTTGTTAATCTCCTTTAACTTTTGTTTTTTCTTTCTTCTCTCTCTATGCTTCCCGTAGTTTCTTCAATTATTTAGATTAGGGTAGTTAATTTTTTGATTAATGTAGACCTAGGTAGTTACAATCAATGGGTAAAACATGTAGGGACACTAATTAGGTGTAAATTTGGGCTTAAAATAAAAAATACATGGAACCCTAATTTAATGCCATAACTGGGCACTCGGTGAGGACCGCAATCGTTTTTGTGCGGTCCGCGGTGCCCTTGTGCGGTCCGCAGTACCATTTTGTGCGGACCGCATTGATGAACTTTTGATTGCTGAACCTCAAGTACTGCGGCCGCACTACATTTTGTGCGGTCCACACTGCCTAGATACAGAGAGTGGGTAGTCTGACCCCTACCTCTGTGCGGACCGCGGTTGATTTTGTGCGGTCCGCGGTGACCCCAGTGCGGCCGCACAACATTTTGTGCGGTCCGCACTGTGTGACTTCTGCAACATTTCTGCATTTTTCTTTCCTGATTGTGCAACTCCGTTCTTAACTACTGCAACTGATACTAGCAAGTTCAATTGAATTGTGTTTGCAGAAAATGGTGAAACAACGAGGTAAAATCACTAAACAACCGGGCAAAGGAGAATCCTCCCGGGGAGGGAAGCAGAAAATGATAAAACTCAATCCCCAAGTCCGGGAAAATATTAAAAGGACCAGAAAATTGATAAAGCTGCTGATAGAGCTGCTTCCCACCCCTCGGGGAGTGAGTACGAGCCTTCCCTGGAGATATCTTCAGACTCAGTACCAACACACATCCCTGACTGGCCGGAGAGGTTCAGGCTAAGAGACACACCTCCAGCATCCCCCACTGCCCAAGCGTCAGTGAATATTTCTTCTGGGTCGTCTGAGGGCCCAGGTGAAGGTAGTGAGGAATACTCCAGCTCTCCCACAGCTTCATTATCTGGAGAGGGTGCAGTAGGTGCTGAGGAGGAAGTAGGGGGAGAAGAAGAAGTAGGAGAAGGAGGTGAACCACAGGTGGGGGGTATTGCTAGAACTAGGAACCCGGAGGTGTGGCAAGACCGGTTCGTCAGTGAAGTAGCATACCATAAATTCAGGGAATGGTGGCCGGTGAAGAAGTTGATCCCGGAGAGGAGTTTCATAGATAGAGACTTGCTACCTCACAACCCCAGTGTGAGGAGGCAGTTTAGTGAGTGAATTGGCTGGGCGCACTTTTTGTCTGATTCTGTGGATGCCAATGAGCACTTGGTCAAAGAATTATATGCCAACGTTGCCCACATGAAAAAGGGTACAAAGGTGACCAAGGTGCGGAATTTGAAGGTGTTATTTGATGGGAAGACGATCAACGATTACCTTGGCTTTGATGAGGAGGATGAGTCCCTATACATGGCAAAAATGGAATTGGGTAAGGAGGTTCGTCCATGGTTGGCACAATACCTGGCAATCCCGGGTACCACCCCTGATTGGTTGACTGCGGGCGTCAAGATTCTGAGACGTAGTTTGAACTTCGAGGCAAAAGGGTGGGAAACATTTGTGTGCAGCAGACTGGACCCGACTACTCATGACAACACCCTCCCTCTTCACCGGGCAGTGTTGGTGGCTTCGATCATGGCGGGGTACCCAATCAATGTGGGGAATGTGATGTCGAGAATAATTTCAATTGTGGGTGCTGAGCATGACAGAAACTACCCGTTCCCCAGTTTTCTCACTATGTACTTCCGGGATCTGAAAGTGGAAAAGAGGCCTTTCGACATCAAGGTCAAAGCGAAGGCCCTATTTTCTTCGTACAGCATGCAGGGGGATGATAACCCCAAGAGCAAGAACTTCAAGAGTACGGTTACTGCTCCAATTGGCCAGTCTAAAGAGCCAGTTGTGGTAGTGACCCCTGCTGAGCCTGCCTCTACTTCCACTACTATCCCTCCTAGTCTATCCACCTCAGCGGACCCGGAGATTCCATCTTCCCGTGCTCATCCTATCACTGCCCACCGACTGAGCCAGGCACTTCTTAGTATCAACAACTGGATGCAGACTGCGTCATCCAAGTTTTCCATCTTGACCACTACGGTAGAGGCTCAATCGGCACCTCCACCTCCACAGGTTCCCCAGTCAATAGAGGATGCTCTCAAAGAGATTATAGACAACCAGAAGAAAATCCTCGACACTCAGAAGGTTCTTACTGATGCAGTTGCTTCACATAGCAAGGCTCTCAAGGAGCTTGATGCTGAGAAAAACACGGGCCTCCAAGGAGTCTGTGAAGGAGCTGAGAGCTGATGTTGATAGACTGAAGGCAGATCAGTTGCCTTTAGAATTATTGCTCCAGGACCCAGTACCAGCAGCTGATCCCCAGCCGGAGCACTCTTAGAGGCCTCCCAAGAGAAGGAGGATGATTCCCAGATCTATTGATGCAGTCATCCAGTTGGCCGACCCACCAGAGGCTTCATCCAGTCAGCCGCAGGATGCACTTCAGGAGCCTGTCCAGGTCCAGGCCCAGGTCCCAGCAGCAGACCACCGGGAACCAGTCTGAGGTTCCTGAGCACAGTGAGGACCCTAGGACCACTCAGGAGCCCATGCAGACAGACAGGCCATAGGGAGTCCCTATATCCTTTTTCCTTTCTCTTTTCATGCTTATTTTGTTTAGTTGGCATTGGGGACAATGCCAGCTTTCATCTGAGGAGGTAGGCCCTACTTTTTGTTTCATGGATTCATTTGGATGACTGTATATATTTGATACTTTTTATGCTTTCTTTATTTTTCATCTTTGGTTTGTATATATTTTTAACATTTCGCTACATTTCTCACACTTTTATTTTACATTAGGTCTGTATATAAAGTTATGTTACATTGTAGATATTCATCCCATCTATTGTATATTCGACAAATCCCCTCTTGTATATATTCATTTTACTTTCCGCAAATTTTTTGTTCTTAGCTTCTTATTTGTGATTCGTAGCTTCTTGTTTAGAAAGTTAGCAATAAGCCTTTGGTTTTCTTAATGCCACGGTTCTTTCCAAAGGTGGAGTGTTGTGTGAACCGGGTGGATCTTCCCAATGATAGATGGCGTGACAACCTTCTTAAGGGTTTGAGTCCGTTTTTTTTGTGTTTAGTAGTAGTTAGTAGTAAAGGTGCCTCAAGCAAAGCTTCACTTGGGCCTAGCACATTTGCCTTTGATCTTATGGTCAATAACAAATTGTTGTGTTTAGGATGGTGAAAGTCGTGACCTTGAGACCCTTGTGTTGACCGATAATCATCAAGTGGTTTTTCGGGACCATTGTGGGCTCAAATATTATCTAAGGTCGTTGTGGGCCCCCGACTCTGTGTCTTTAGCAATCTCATAGCTTGTGTGGTGAGTAATCGCTTGGTAAGTCCAAGTCCCGAGCCATTGGTCTAGAACTTGCCCTGAATGTTTGTTGAGGCGAAATCCTAAGTGAATTTTGACTTGACATGATTATAGGCTCTCCTTGTTCCAAATGATAGTTTGAACACATCCACAACCTACCAGTGATAAGATCCCTAGTCAACCCTTTTGAGCCTTAGACCTTTTTCCTTCAAGAACCATGATACAAGCCTATACCCGTTTTAAAAGATACCCTCTCTTGGCACCCGATCTTTCCTTTAGCACATGGAAAAAGTATAAGTTTGGGGGGAGACACGAGGATTGCAACAAAGTGGTAAAAAGGCATAAAAATGAAGAAAAGGAAAGGCAATAAAAAGAAAGAAAAGCAAAAAGACAAAAAGAATGTTCAATGTGAAAAAGAATAAAAAGGGATTCAAGAAAAGCAAAGAATGAAAGGTGTGGAAAGTTGAAAAAGGAGAAAAAGTTTGAAATGCATAAGAAAGAGTGACAGTGTGTCTCTCTAACCCCTTAGAAAGAATTGAAAGGACTCAAAGAGTCAAGAGAATGTGTGCCAAACGAATCAAAATAAGTGCTTAAAGGAAGATGGAACCTACTTAGACCAAAGCATTTCCTACCCTGAACCAAAAGCCTTCACAACGTCTCCGCAAAAGCCCTATATGGTCTTGAGTTGAATGAAGCTTACATTAGTGGATACTCACATAAGGGGCAAGCATATGGTACCTAGAGCCGGATTCGTGACTTTTTATTGAGAGAGATGAGTGAACTTCCATTGACCTTGTTCTGAGTGCCACTATTCTAAAGGTGAGGTTTGCTTAGGGAGAGTTGAGGATGTGTGAGTTTGGGTTCCACAATGACCGAAGTAATAGAAAAGAGTTCTTTGATGTGTTGAGTCAACTCTTGATGCTCTTGTGTCGCACTTAATCCATGGTGTTTCAAAGAGTAAAAGTTGTTAATGATTCATGTGTATTAAGGGCAATTGTTAGTCCCAGTTGAGGCTAGTTGAGGTTACTTTAGATCAGCTGAATTTTCTTGGATTTTCCCTTAAGGAGTGGGTCTTACTTTGTTTGCTTGAGGACAAGCAAAAGCTTAAGTTTGGGGGAGTTGATAACTAGTGATTTTAATACATTTTATACTCCTTCTTGCTTATGTTTTGATTGGAAATTCGTACAAAATAGTCCCAAAAGGCTCACAAGTTGTGCTTGATTGCAGGTTTGATCAACAAAGTGACAAGATGTCAAAGATCAGCTCAAAGGGAGTGAAACTTGCACAAGCACTAAGACAAGACAAAGCTCAGGAAGAACAAGGCCTGTGCGGACCGTACTGGGGAGATTCAGAGAGCATGATTTCCAGGCAAAGAGGCAGTGAGGCCGCACTACTATTTTGTGCGGTCCGCACTGAGATCAACGCGGCCGCAGTCCATTCTCTGCGGTCTGCAGTAAGGAGAATCAGAGAGTTGCAATTTCCCAGTATCAAGCCAATGCGGTCCGCGCTCCATTTAATGTGGACCGCACTAGAAGCCTCCACGGCCGCAGTCCATTCTCTACGGTCCGCAATGCCTAGGTTCAGAGAGCAGTTTTGTCAAGTCCAAAGACCTAGTGTGGACCGTAGTCCATTTTGCGCGGTCCGCACTAACCCCGTAGGGGCATTTTTTTCCAGAATTATCAGCTTAGTATAAATAGCTTCTTTTCCATTTTTAGGTAAAGCAGATAGATTTGACTAGTAGTTGCACTCGTGACTTCGGTTCTGTTAGCTATTTTGGGCAATTTTATCTTCATTTTAACACTGAATCTTCTATTTTATCTTAGTAATTAATTAATATGAATTGTTCTTCATCTATTTCTTGTTTTTCTTCTTTAATTATGAGTAGCTAAACCCATCAGCTAGGGTTGTGGCTCAACCCTAGTGTGGGTAATTGATAGGTCTTGTATTTTAGGGCTAAATTGACTATGGGTGTGTAACGACCTGACCGGTCATTTTGAACTTTTGCACTTTGATCGCCAGTTCTCAAGCATGACTTACCCCGTGTTATGTATTATGTCTAATGTAGACCGTTGGTTTTGGTTTTCAGGAAGATTTGGAATGAATTTGAAAGAACAATTTTAGTTGAAAGCTTTAAATTTGAAAGGTTTGACTGAGAGTTGACTTATTTGTATATGAGCTCTGATCGGAGTTTTTATGATTTGGTTAGCTTCGTTAGATTATTTGTGACTTAGGAGTGTGATCGGAAGTGATTTTGGAGGTCCGGTGTAGAAGTAGGCTTGAATTGGCGAAGTTAGTATTTTGGCGAATTCCGGTTGATAGGTGAGATTTTGATCCGAGGGTTGGAATGGAATTCCGAGAGTTGTTGTAGCTTCGTTAAGTGATTTGGGATGTGTGTGTAAAGTTTCAGGTCATTCGAACGTCGTTTGGTTGGGTTTTTGATCGAATGCGCATTTCGAAAGTTTTAGAAGAACTTAGGCTTCAATTCGACGTAATTTGATGGTTTTGGTGTTGTTTGAGGTGTTTTGATAATTGGAATAAGTTTGAATAACGTTTTAGGATGTATTGGTATTTTTGGTTGAGGTCCCGGGGCCTCGGGGTGATTTCGGATGGCTATCAGGATGAGTTTTGGACTTGTGCAAATCGCAGGCCTGCTGCTTCTGGTATTTCCGCTTCTGCGGAATTGGAACCATAGAAGCGGTATCGCATATGCAGCATGGGAGTCGCGGAAGCGGAAAAGGGCAAGGCTAGGCTGGACCGCAGATACGGAGTAGGGACCGTATCTGCGGAGTCGCAGATGCGACTTTTAGACCGCAGATGCGGCCTGGGGTGTTAAGTTATTTTCCGCAGAAGCGGAGGGAGGAACTGCAGAAGTGATAGTTGCAGAAGCGAAAGGATGACCGCAGAAGCGGTAATGACTGGGCAGAATATTTAATTGGTCTTCTTCGCGAAATTTTAAGGGTTTCTCATTTCTAACCTCAGACTTGGAGGGTTGTGGGCGATTTTGAAGAGAGATTTCAAGGGGTTTCGATAAGGTATGGATTCTTGGACTTAAAACACGATTTATGGTGTAAATACATGGATTAGAGCTGAAAACTCAAGTACTTAATGGGCAAAAATGGTAGTTTAGGGCTTGAAACTAAAGAGAACAAAAATTGGGACTTGTGGGGTCATTTGGACTCCGATTTTGGTATTCTTTATATGAATAGACTCGTGGCGAGATAAGGAATCCGTTGATGTAAAATTTTCTGGAATTCGAGAAGTGGGCCCGGGGCTCGGGTTTTGCAAATTTCGTGATTTTCGATGTTTTTCGATTCTTTTCGATTGGGTTATGTTCCCTTAGCCTATTGTGATGTATTCGTTGTGGTTTTGATCAGATTCGACGCGCGAGGAGGCCGATTGGAGAGGCAAGGGCATAGCGAGCTAGGATTTTGGCCGGCTTGAGGTGAGTAATGATTGTAAATGATATCCTGAGGGTTTGAAACCCCGGATTGCACACCGTAGTGCTATATTGAGGTGACTTGCACGCTGGATAGCGAACATGAGGTAGAGCACCGTTGGGGATTGTGACTTGGTCCGTCCCGATTGATAATTTTACCGCGTATTTTGACTGAAACTTATTTGTTATTATCATGATTTGGGCTGATTGCCATATTTGGGATTCGTGCCAATTATTTGAACCCTTCGGGGAATTTATCACTGTTTCCTCACTGTTTTGACGTGTTATTTGAACTCAGTCCTGTTGATATCTCCTGTTTTACAAACTCAGCCAATTTTTACTCAGATTTGAAACTTAAATGATATTTTGGGCTGAGAACTACTGCTTTACAAATGCCCGAGGGGCTTGTGATGATTTTCGGACTGAGTGAGGCCGAGGGCCATATGTGAGGATATACTGAGTGATATGAGGCCGAGGGCCTGAGATACTTTATATGCCATGAGGTGGCTTGAGTGACGTGAGGAGGCTTTCAGGCCTTGAGAGTGATGTGAGGAGGCTTTCAAGCCTTGTGAGTGATGTGAGGAGGCTTCAAGGCCTTGTGGATGATGTGAGGAAGCTTTCAGGCCTTTTGAGCGATGTAGAAGGCTTTCGGGCCTTATTTTATATGCCACGAGGTGGCTTGATATTGCGCTTGGGCC